TATATATATATTTTTTTTTTAATAAAGGAAACTTCAATAATCATTTATAATTAAGAAAGGATCTCGATGTAATTGCGACGATAATTAAACAAAAATTTGTATTGTTCCTTCAAATCAAGTCAAATTATGCAAAATTATTGAAGTAATTATTGAGTTTAGTCCTCATTATATTCGCAGTTGCAAGCGCAAATCTTGCTATTAAACGGGCGGGTCGATGAGATTACTAATCTAAAAGATTATTGGGAACGGCACTCGTTGCGGTAAAAGCAGATGCATATTCGCACCGCATAACTGCACGTATAATGTGAGGTGTGTTATCCCGGCGCATGAACGTGCTGTGAGATTGCACGCAGAATACGCACGTGAACACGCTCGAGTGGCGATGTTTGCATTCTGGCATTCTCACGTTGGTCATCGCCACGGAAAAACATCGTAAATGCCATTGTTCGATTTCCTACGCGTGAATTTTCCCGAGCTGCTCGCACAGTGAATGTAGAAGTCACGGAAACGTATCAAGCGCGAGGTTTCAAGAGAGAAAAACAATTCTGTCCGATTATAAACCGATCACATATTTGTAATAACGCGATAAAATCGATTCTAAAATCGATTTTCCTATTTTGAAGAATTATTCAGTTTTTCAGAAAAACAATTTCTTTAATGAATAATAATAAGTTAGATTAAACCGTTACATGAATAAACCGTTAAATACAATCGAGTGTCTATAATAATAATGTCAATTATATATATTCAATCATAAACTGCGCCGATTATTTTTGGACTTGAAATCGCAAATGGAAGTTGAAATATCACAAATTAAATTAATCGACAATTTAATAATGATATTTTAATATATATATATAAATATAATATATTTTTTTATATATATATAAAATAATAATAAATTTTTTTATATTGCAAAAATCTTATTGCGAAAAATTTCACTTTAATTATGGATTGAATTGAGACTGTTTTAAAATGCTTATTATAATATCATTAAATTGACGATCAATTAAATTTTAATTTGTGATATTACTATTTCAGTTTTAGTTTGCGATATTACATTTTAAGTCGATTTAATCGATGTGCTGTTTCTATAACTGAAAAATGTATTTAAAAATTATATTGAAATATCACATTAAGTACCATTCAGCGTATTTGACGCTTTTTTACTTATTTGATTCCTCTGAAACTAAGAGGAAAGTCTTGCGGTTTCTCAAACAACTTCCTATCTTCAAAAAAATTGCAGCATCGAAATATAAATCGAAATTGCACGATGAAAATTGTTTTTTACTCACAATGTGCAATCAGATACGAAACATTCTGACTCTTTTGACGCGATCATTCGAAACACTTGGCATAAGTTATCTGGACGATGTCTACGTGTGCTTACTGATCATTCGCACGAAAAGAGACGAATGTGAAAGTGAAATTGGGAAATGATGTACAAATTTTATTCTCGTATGCCACAGGCGCACGTTGAATAAATAACACGACAGGCGTTATGTATACCATGCACTGCTGTTACGAATTACGTTTTACCTGACCGCAAGCCTTCCTGACAGACCCACGTCGATACGATCGCATACAGACAACACAATCGGTGTCGCTTTTAATTGACACTCCGCTCACGCATTTATTTGATTATGCTCGATGTGATGCTCGTTCGCGATCAGTCACCGCAATATTCGTGTCATTCACTTACCCTTATCTGCTGCTCAAAATATCGCGAGTATATGTGTATAGAAAAAAGAAATGTTTTCGTAGTAAAACTATACTTTCTACAAGAATACTTCCTTTATTTGAATGTATGATACGAAAGGGACTATATGTTGCTAGCATAATCATTTATTCGGTGATATAACTATCTTTTTTAAAATAAAATAGATATTTTTTTCTGAATAAATATATTGTAAAGCGAATCTGTTACTAAATTTTGTTCAATAATTTAAAAAAATTATCTATTTTTAGTAAATTTATTATTCAAATTGTTAGCTTTGAAGAATGGAATGAAAATTAATTTGTGGATACAGGAAAAACACTGAAAAAATTTAATTAATGTTTTTAAATTAATTAAAAAGCATAAATTTTTTAATTAATTTAACTTTAAATTTAATTTTGAAATGAATTGGATTTTAATTAACAAAAATTTTATTTTAAATTTTATTTAATAACAAAATCTTTCATAAAACAATGATTCCCTTCACGAGATTTTCATTGAAGAAAAATTCACTTCTCACAAACTCGTGGAATGTGGACATTCCACACAAGGATTAGTATATCTCGATCGTGAATCTACTTGTTTATTAAACGGAATCTACTTGTTTATTGCTGTCGTAAATTTGTCTTGTTTACGTTTAGACTTTATAAACTCGCGAAATGTATTAGACTATTCTTAGAATAATTTAACTCTGCTTAATGATTTATGTTAATTTCGTCATTGATAATTTCTTCTTTTTATTCTAGCATGTATTTTACTTAAATTCACGGATAACGTAGTTAAGTAAGTAATCTTACTTAAAAATAAAGGGTTAAAAGGGTAGAAACGATAAAGCCTTGGCCTCGGTTTGTCTTTCTAAAATATGTAAGACACTGAGGATCGTTAACAAAATACGTGCGATACTTTTTATTAGATTTACTGAAGATTTCAGCATTATATGTACGATGACGTAAGTCAGAAAGTTATAAAATCATCAAAAGTTATAAAAATACTTTTTAAAACTTCGCCAGATAATTCGCGCAGACTCAAAAGAAAAAGGATTGCCCTTAGGGGCTCGATTATCCCAAGAAATGATCTAAGAATGCTGAGATAGAAGAACTGGACAAACAGGATCAAGCCCCTTTTCAAGTGCATCTTCTCAGCAGTTGCTTTCTGTACTTTAAGCTTAAAATCCATATCTACTAATGTAGATTAATTTTAATTCTCAGTTTAATTTTTCTAATTTTTTCTAATTTTTAAAACTAAAAGAAGATAAAAAGCAAGTTAAACCAAGATTAAAGTTAAATAATAGATAAAGTACTTTACATTGGTAGAAATGGATACAAAATAAATTACTTAACGCGATCAATTACGATATAAGCTTCACTCTACAATAGTCTTCAATGATTTTAAAAGTTATCTATCTATTATCTCTCTAAAAGATATTTTCTTGATAATCGCGAATTGATAAGTTTTGATAAATTTTTGTAACACATCTGAATCATCTCATTTTTTCTAATTACGTGCAATTTGTTCTGTAGAGATTTACCGCGATATCTCTCAATTAATTAATTAAAATCTTGGGATATTTTTCCGCTACGAAAAGCGATTATTTCGGCGCGGTGTGGTTCACGCAGGAATGTCGACGCGGCGCCGAATAAAATTACGAGGTGCTTTTTTGCACTTTCTGCATACCTATGTCGCGTCGGCGTGAGTTCGTAGATCGCATAAATACTGACATAAAATAATATATAAAGATGATGTATACTTAATAAGCATAATTATGACATTAACGAATCCTCACCTTGGATCTCATTCATTTCACTCCATCGCGGGAACCGTAAACTTTCTTCAACTTTGCGGTGGATCACTCGCAGGAATTTCGGCGTGGCGCCGAATAAAATTAAGGAGCGCTTTTTTGCGTTCTTTTATATCCTTGATCGTGTCAGGGATTTCCTAGAGT